AGCAGGAAGGGAGAAAAGCCTGAATACTCAATGAAAAATCCCCAGTGATGCAACTAGTCCACTTGTTGGTGATCAGAAAGGGAACGGGGGCGGGGGGGGCTAAGCAGCTGCTAGGAATTGCAAAGAGGGAGCCGGACATCAATGAAGCTCTTGAGAGTTGAAAGAGGAACTTTTGGAGGTGAGGAAAGGAATTTGGGGGCCAGCTAAGCTAAAAGGTGGGGTAAATAAAACATCTTGCAGGCTACACATAAAACCCCAATGGGTCGCAGGCTGCCCACCACTGCTGTATCTCTTCACTAAAACATACTAGAGCAGTGGTCTCCAACCTTTTTAAGCACGAGATCGCTTTTTTAATTTAAGTGCAATCCAAGATCTACATCACACCCAAATACCCTTGCCCCACCTCCTTTGTGCCCCTGCTCCTAGGCCCCGCCCCCTGCTCACTTTCACTCTCACTTTCACCAGTCTGGGGCAGAAGGTTGGGGTGCAGGCTCTGGACTTCAATTAAGGGATTTGGAGTGTGAAAGGGGCTCTGAGCTGAGCTTGGGGCAGGCAGTTGGGGTGCTGGAAAGGGTTCTAGGTGCAGGCTCCGGCAGGGCATTTGGATGCAGGGGTGCTCGGGGCTAGGGCAGGGGCTTGGGGTGCAGAAGGGGGTTGATGATGGGGGCAGGATTTCAGGATGTGGACTCCAGCTGGGGTGCAGCTTACCTCAGGTGGCTCCTGGGTGGTGGTGCAGTGGGGCTAAGGTAAGCTCACCCCTGCCCTGACCCTGCTCTGCTCCCAAAAGCAGCCAGCAAACTCCATCCCAAGACCTGCTGTGCCCCCTCTCTGCTCTTGGAGATAGGACACAGAGTGGGAGAGGGGGCACCCTCACATAAGCATCCTCCTCTCCCTCTCCTGCCTAGTAAGCAGGAGGCTCTTGAGGGGACAGGTCCAAGACAAAGGGCAGGAGAAGCGCAGCAGTGGGTGGCGGGCAGCTGAAGAGCCAGCACTTGATAGCTTCTTGGCCAAACCTGTCAGGATCACCTTAGCAGAGGCTCCAAGACCTACCAGTAGATCCCGATCTACTGGTTGGTGACTACTGCACTAAATGAAGCAGTTAAACTACTGGCTATTTATCTGAACCTAGCCTCCAAATGCTTGCAGGCTCACCCTCACTGACCAAGGGAATTAAAAAACAATGAAGAGACATTTCAGACACATCATCCTTGAGAGTGATGGTTTAAATTAAAAAGCCATTTGGAATGATGTAAGACACTTTCTGCTAATAATCACCTGTGCTCTATATTTTCATAATACACACTAAGGTGGAAGCCTTCCTTCCGCTGGGTGTGATTGTTTCTTGGTGTTGTTACATCAGTCCCTGACAGCTGATGTAAGATCACTCACCTCTGTAACATGAGAGAGCTCCTCTGAAGTTAAGAGAGATACACCTGTTTGTATCAGCTGTGGATTTGACCCATAGAAGTCAATTAATAGTGTGGAGGTGAGCAAAAATTGGAGAGGCATAAAAGCAGAGATGGTTTTGGTTTTACCATTGATTTCTTTTTTAATCTTTTTCAGATAGGTCTGTTTCCCACTGCACCCCATTTGATTAATCACCCAGGTGAGACCATAGACCTGGCATACATTGTGATGGCAAAAGTAACGGAAGGCAAAACGGTTTTCTACAATACACCTGGAAGGACATCAGATAGGTCATTGGCCTCTAGTCTCATTTGTGGGAATACTTTCTCTTGGCACATGATCGTTTTTTTCAAATTAAATTAAGTTCTGCTGACAATACATATGTTTTAGTAAATAAATGATCACTGCATGCTTAAGCAATTCCAAATTCCATATGTTTCAGCAAAAAACAGACCATGGGGGAGTATTAGAAGGGGGGAAGCTTCCTTGCATAGGTGATGGGGCTTGTGTTTTTTAATGCTTTAAAATAGCCTGATAGTCTTGTCACTGGGGACTGAGAGTTTTATAGCAGAACATGGATGCAGGAGAGTTTCACAAAACTTCAAGGTTATGGAACTCAGCATGTGTGTAACCTGAGGCTCTCAGAGATGCAGTATGCTCCCAAGTGTAATCCACTGAAAGAAAGATGGAAAACAAATAAGCAGCAGCAAGAGCAAATTGCCACATGGTAGGAACACACAGCCAGTTCCCGGAGGTGAATTAGAGTGGCAACATTCACTGTGTTGATACAGCATCATAACCACCAGCATTCTGAAGTCTCAATGGATCAACAATGAATAGAAAATACTCCACTATCAGCATCACCCCATATGATAATACTGACAGTGACTGGATGCGTCACCAGCCTTCCTTAAACAGACTTCAACTGAAAATATTCTGACTTGTCTGTACCCCCACAACCAGTTACTTACCTGGATGTCCTTCTCCCACAGACTCTGATGTGAACATGAAACCACCTTCACCATCTAGGGTGTGGTCACATAAGCCATCCACCGGTCCATTCATGATTTTGAAACTTTTCCTGATGGGTAAATCAATGCAGTCGTTCAAGAGCTCTGTCCTTAGTGCCTTTCCCTGGCTGAATAGAAGGGCTAAACGTCTGTATTAGCAGGGCTGACACTTCACTCAGTTACTACTGTCCAAAAAACTTGAGCGTGTGAAGTGTGTGTGTGTACGTGTACGTGTACGTGAACACCGATTAGGCATCTGACTGAGATCTATACCTCTACCTAGTTTGTCTGTCACTGTGTGAGTTGCTCCTATATATGGAAAAGTGAAAGTGCCGGGATAATCATGTGAGGAAACTGGGAGAGCCCATTTCCTGGGAGGGGAAGCAAGTTAATACTTGGCTATTTCACGTATTAACTCACGGTTCACTTTTTCAGTAACGTTCAGGATTCAGCCTGTGCTAGATCAGAAGCCATAAAGATTCAATTCAGCAGGTGTTAGTACAGGAGTTCTAGCTTCAGTTCCATTCAGCAGTTCTTTTGGTTTAGCTCTCCCCTAGTTTGGGGCTGTGTGCTGTGAGTGTTCTCTAGCATGTGTTGTGATCTGCACAGAAATAGAAGAAAGTTGTGTAAGCTGGTTCCTTTCTTCTCAATAGAGTGAGTGGTGTGAAATGTGTTAAGCACAATGTGAGCTTATTTCCTGCTTTTCAGTTTCACCTAAAAGTGTCAGAGGGTAGCCGTGTTAATCTGTAACTTTAAAAACAAAACAAGTAGTCCTGTGGCACCTTATTAGTCTCTAAGGTGTCACAGGACTATTAATTATTTTCACCTACATGTAATTCTCTCCTGGAAGGTCTTGTACATTTGATTTCTTTGTGTGCTCTTATGAAAGGAAATATTGTACTAATACCTGAGTAATCTAGATTCTGATTATCGTATTTTCTAAACAATCTCTATTCAGCGGTCTCTTTCTAACTTGCCTGCTAATTAGAGTCCATCTTAAAATTCTATTAGTGTCTCACAATTAGACATACACTGAGTGTCACACTTTTCATTTCAGGGAGCTGGAAAATGCCACTATTTTTCTAAAAAGGCTTTGCAGGTTTGGAAATCGTCATGGTTGAGTTTGGAGTGCTTTGGAATGTAGCCAACCTCAGCCTAAGCCTTCGGGGGAGAAACAAGATATTTATATGTAGCTGAGATACTGAGATCTAGTTACAAATGGATCAAAGGAAGCTATTGCACAGACTGGCTATTGAAACCTTTTTTTGACATGAAGTGTAGTTGTAGCCCTGTTGGTCACAGGATATTTGAGAGACAAGGTGGATAATATCTTGTATTGGATCAACTTCCGCAGATCAGAGAGAGACGCTTTCAAGCCACACAGAGCTCTTCTTCAGGTCTGGAAAAGGTACTCTGGGCGTCAGGTAGCCCGCATTTCGTGAAGGATGAGAAAGAGATTGTAGCATGCATGTGTGTGTGCACATGCATGTTCACAGAGCAAATTGCACCAAACGCAAACAAACTGTGCTGCAAGCAGTTACAAAGTCCCTAGCAGCTACTGTAGCACTGCTAAAGGGAATCATAAAGATTAAATTCATTTAAAAATGAATGATTGATTCAATCCAGTGCCCACTGAAACAGGAAAATTCTCCTGGACTTCAGAAAGGATTGGTTTAAGCACCTTAACGCAGTGTTTCCCAAATGGTGTTTCGCAGAACCCCGGGGTTCCGTGAAGTGAAAATAAGGGTTCCGCGAGAAAATTCCATTACAACAACCCATTTATGATTTTTTAAAAATTGTACACATTAAATGTCATTTTTGTTTTTTAAATATGTGCAATTAAACTAAATGTTGATCTCATGACCTTGTTTAGCATTTGTCTAGTAGTATCCTTACTTACTTATTTGTGGTCTACTTTTTCAGCTCCATATATAAGACTATTATTAGGGGGTCCGTAAAATTCTTTTGAATTTAAAAGGGTTCTGTTGCCAAATAAAATTGGGAAACACTGCCTTAATGTATTTGTCATCCAATTGCAATGGTGATATCCCTAATACATGTATTGGTCCTGGCTAGATCGTTTTTGCCTGCATATGTTGCCAGTTACTTTTTGTCACTTTCCAGTTTGACCTCTGACTATATACTTCTGCCCCAATTATTATTACTAGCATTACCCATCCCTTTCTGACAGTAGATGTACATGTGGCCTCCTCTCTCCTAGCTGCTCCCAGGGATGGGGATAGGGGTGGGGGCCATGCGTCCTCTTCCCTCCTTGCTGCTCTGGAGATGCTGGGGCATGCACATGCTCAGTGCACTGCTCTTCCTCCCCTCCCTGCCTGCCCCATGAAACTTCTCAAGTCTTCTCAAATGTTCTCTATGGCTACGTCTAGACTGCACGCCTCTTTTGACAGATGCTTTTTTGACAGATACTGTTGACAAAGCCTCTGTCAAAAAAGAGCGTCTAGACTACAACCAGTTCTGTCGAAAAAGCAAGCCACATTTTCATAGGAGACTGTAGACGCTCTCTTTCGAAAAAGCACAATTTGCATGCAATAGCGCCTTTTTTCGAAAGAGTACTTTCGAAAAAAAGTGTTATTCCTCGTAAAATGAGGTTTACCGCCGTCGACAAAATTGCCACGTTCTGTCAACTTACTGTCGATAGAACACGGCGATAGTGTAGACGCAGGTATAGTTTTGTTGCCTTTTGTCAACAAAACCCTGTAGTCTAGACACACCCAAAGACAGACGGCGTGACGGACACCTCTCTTTCTATAATAGTATATAGATGATTATTTTACAAGTAAGAGGAGAATGTGATAAGTCACTTCTGCTTCAAACCCTTGCTTATTTGTGAAAGTATTCCTGAGACTTTCATTTTCTGCATCCCTTCCCAAGAACAATTTACACTGTTCATTTTGTGCGTTATTTGCCCATTTCTAATCACTATGGACATGCAGAGCGGCAGCTGTTAACTCGGTATCTGTTGTCGTTGTTTCATTGGCATAGGGTCAGCCCCAGTCTGTTTGCAATTCAGGTAAATGCGGCCTTGATATCATTGAGGAGAAAATGGTATGTTCAAAAGAAAAGTTCGTCATTTTTAGAGGACCAAAGAGTAACATCAACCTAAATGGGTAATTATATTAACTTATGTTAATGATTAACATTCAAAGTTCATATTAACTTTTAAAGTTACATAAAACCAAGAGGCAAACATTCCTCTGTTAAATGTAGACTTTTTTCTGTATGTCAGAACACAGACACCTGAGAGAACATCTTCCTTTGTAAAAGTTTTAGGACTTTTTTCTCTTCAGTAGAGGGCAGACAAAGGTTCCACTCTAGTTCTCTAGTCCTCCAAGGAAACCTCCAGCAAAAACAGAGCGTACAAGATTTGACATTCTAAATATTTATAATGTAAAACACAAACAGAACAAATCAAAACCCAGGCACAAACCTACCAGGCATTCGTCATATACTGGAAAGAGGCAATAAGAACTCCAAAATCCTACTGCCAATCCTGCAAACACTAAGGCTGTGTCTAGACTGGCAAGTTTTTCCAGAAAATCAGCTGCTTTTCCAGAAAAAATTGCCAGCTGTCTACACTGGCCGCTTGAATTTCCGCAAAAGCACTGACTTCCTACTGTAAGAAATCAGTGCTTCTTGCAGAAATACTATTCTGCTCCCGTTCAGGCAAAAGGGCCAGTGTAGACAGGTGAGATTTGTTTTCGCAAAAAAGCCCCGATTGTGAAAATGGCGATCGGGGCTTTTTTGCAGAAAAGTGCGTCTAGATTGGCACAGACGCTTTTCCGCAAAAAGTGTTTTTGCAGAAAAGCGTCCATGCCAATCTAGACACTCTTTTCCGAAAATGATTTTGACGGAAAACTTTTCTGTTAAAAGCATTTCCAGAAAATCATGCCAATCTAGACACAGCCTTGAGATGTAAGTAATTAAGGGCACATCTACATAGCAGGGCTAAAGCCAAAATAAGCTACATGATTTGAGCTATGTCAATTGCGTAGCATAAGTCGAAATAGCTTATTTCAGCTTTTGGTGCTGTCTACAGAGCAGGAAGTCCAAGTTAGAGCACTCTTCCTCCAACTTCCCTTACTCCTCATAAAATAAGGGTTACAGAAGTAGGAATAAGAAGTCCTCTAATTCGACATTATTTCGACATTATGTCAAAATAATGCTGCTGTGTAGACATAGCCTACAGAGGAACTTCCATTGAGCTTTCAGGGACTACTTTTGTTTGGCCTTTGCAGCTCCCTTTTAGGAATCCACATTTCTGAGGACTTGATCTAATCTTGCGGACCTTTCAAGTGCCATCCATTCTCTATTGCCTATGTTATGCAAGCGATCAGACCAAATCACCCTGTTCCTTTCTATTCCCTTTGTTGGAACCTATGAATCATTGTGTACAATGGAAGTGCCTATGGAGATAATGGTCTAGAAATACTGGTTAGCTACATGTCACATGATTCATGTAAGACGTCCAGCTTGAACTGCTTCCATGTATAATTTTACTACTAGCAGTAGTGCAATCAGAAATATTTGTTCGTGGAAATATTGCATGGCCGGGGCTCCCTTGACATGTTGTTTTTCAGCCATGTTTTTGCAACCATGAGCCATTATAGGTTGCAATGGTATTTAATTTGGCTTCTCTTCGCAAACTCATGAATTTGTTAAATATTTGTAAAATGGCACAACTGAGCTCCTATCGCGCACCTGGCAATCCTCTAGCATAAAAGAAACACAATAAAGAACAGAATAAAGATCACCTCATCTCAAAAAAGATATCTTGGCACTGGAAAAGTTCAGAAAAGGGCAACAAAATGATTAGGTTTGCAAACCCTGCTATATGAAATGAGATTAATAGGACTGGGACTTTTCAGTTTAGAAAAGAGGTTACTAAGGGAGGATTTGCTAGAAGTCTATAAAATCCTGACTGGCGTGGAGAAAGTAAATTAAAAAATGTGATGTACTTGTTCCCATAACACAAGAATTAGGGGCCACCAAATGAAATGAATAGGTAACACGTTTAAAGCAAACACAAGGAAGTATTTTTTCACACAGTGCACAGCCAACCTGTGGAACTCCTTGCCAGAGGATGTTTGTGAAGACCAGGATTTTAAAAAGGCTCAAAAAAGAACTAAATAAATCCATGGAGGTTAGGTCCATCAATGGCTATTAGCCAGGATGGGCAGAAATGATGTCCCTACTCTCTGTTTGTCAGAAACTGGATATGGGCAATAGGGGAAGGAATCACTTGAGGATTACCAGTTCTGTTCATTCCTTCTGGGGCACCTGGCATTGACCACTGTCAGAA